TTTCTCCAAAGTACCCAGACTAATACATCCATCGAGGAGCACCTTGGAAGAAAGACCTGGCAGTCTAGTTCCCAAAGATCACAGCCGTGGAAGAGCCCCGAGGGCACAGTCCTGCTCTGCAGACTCGGGGGCAGGCGGCTGGGCATGGGGGCGAGCTAGAGGGCAGGGGGTTGTGGGCTCTGCTTGTGCATGAAGGCTCCTGGGAGTGAGTGGAATCGGGCAGAGTGCAGGAAGCTTTGCAGGGCCCCCTGCAGGGTACGCGGAGCGCAGTTGGCCCTCAGCACAGGGGCAGGCCCAGGCCACCCACTCCAGAGTCGGAGGAACGGTGCCTGGATAGTCCAGACTTCCTGAGGTGGTCCCCTGGTTTCTATGTGAGGAGTCCTAGTGGTGCTGTGATTGAGCCCGTGGTGGCCCACTGAAAGGCTGGCAGTTCAAACCCACCCAGTGGCTGAGGGAGAAATGGCAATGTAGTCCCTGGAACAGCGGTTCTCAACCTTCCTCATGTTGCGACCCTTTCATACAGCTCCTCGTGTGGTGGGGACCCCCAACCATCACATGATTTTCATTGCTACTTCATCACTGCAATTTTGCTACTGTGATGGAATCGGGTGACCCCTGTGAAAGGGTTGTTCTACCCCCAAAGGGGCCATCACCCACAAGTTGAGGACAGCTGCCCTGGGAGACCCCAGCACGGAAATCCTGTGGGGCAGCTCCGCTCTGTCCCAAGGGGTCGCCAGCCACAACTGGGGCTGGGGGCTGAGAAACAAGGTCCCTGTGGCATGTGACACGTGACGTGAGTACAGCAATTCCGTCCCTCCCTGCAGAAAGGCGATGCGGTTGTTTACCTCGTTATTGGGCAGTGGAATCTGGTTTCCTCGGTTGCCTGAGAGACACAAGGCACTGCTTTGTACCATGTAAATGTTAAGAGGGTCTTCGTGTTTCTACAAAAAGCCTGCTTACCCTGACACCAATTCCCAGGTCAGACTGTTCCACAGATTAGAAATGCCCTTCATTGGAGAGGTCTTGAGCAGAGGCAGGGGGTGGGCTTCTTTCGGGAGGTTGGGGGGGTTGTTCATTCATGTGGTGCTTTCTTACAACATCCAAATTCCACATTCATGTTCCCTGAGGTTTCACCCTGGGGACCCAGGACATCTCGGCGACTCGGCTGTCCGCTGTGGGGTGTGCTGTGTGCTTCACCCGGCCCTGCTGTCCTCTCCACTCCCCACCCACCCCCCTAAGCTCTCATGGGAGCTGAGAGCATGATGCCACAGAAAGAAATGGGGGTTCTTCCCTCCCTGGGGGACAGACAACAGAAAAGTGGGTGAAGGGAGACATCAGACAGTATAAGACATGCCAAAATAATAATTTATAAATTATCAAGGGTTCCCCAACAGACTAGACTGGAAAACACTCCTAAAAGCCAACAATCCTTGAACTAACGACAAGCTTTTGTTTCTTGTTGTGTTTTGTTTGGTTCTTTGTCAGTGGTTTGTTGTTGTTGTTGTTTTGTTATACATTGTTGCTTGGTTTTGCTCTGTCTTGTTTTTGTGTATGTTATTATCTCCACAGGTCTGTCTAAATAAGATAGGCTGGATGAAAAATCTGGAGGAGAAAACAACGGGACCGACAGTTCCAGGGGGACATGGGAGAGGGGGAGGTAGGGGGAAAGGAAGTAGTGTTAACAAACTCAGGGACAAGGGAAAAACAAGTGATCCAAATTGGTGGTGAGGTGGGTGTGGGAGGCCTGGTAGGGCATGATCAAGGGTAATGTAACAAAGAGGAATTGCTGAAACCCTGGTAGGAACTGAGCATGAGAGTGGAACAGAAGGAAAGTCAAGGGAAATAGAGGAAAGAGCTGGGAGGCAAAGGGCATTTATAGAGGTCTAGATAAAGACATGTACATATGCAAATATATTTATATATGAGGATGGGGAAATAGACCTAAGTGCCTATATTTATAGGTTTAGTATTAAGGTAGCAGAAGGACATTGGGCCTCCACTCAAGTACTCCCTCAATGCAAGGATACTTTGTTCTATTAAATTGGCATTCTATGATGCTCACCTTCCCAACACAACCACTGAAGACAAAGTGGGTGAATAAGCAAAAGTGGTGAAGAAAGCTGATGGTGCCCGGGGTCTGGGGTCTTAAAAGCTTGAAGGTAAACAAGCAGCCACCTAGCTCAGAAGCAACAAAGCCCACATGGAAGAACACATCAGCCTGTGTGATCATGAGGTGCCCGAGGGATCAGTTATCTGGCGTCAGAACAAAAAAATCATATCACTGTGTGCTCACCTCCATGACACGATCGCTGAAGACAAATGGGTGCATAAGCAAATGTGGTGAAGAAAGCTGATGGTGCCCGGCTATCAAAAGGTATAGTGTCTGGGGTCTTAAAGGCTTGAAGGTAAACAAGCGGCCATCTAGCTCAGAAGCAACAAAGCCCACATGGAAGAAGCACACCAGCCTATGGGATCACGAGGTGTTGAAGGGATCAGGTATAAGGCATCATCAGAACAAAAAATCTTACCATAGTGAATGATGGGGGGAGTGCAGAGTGGAAACTCAAAGCCCATTAGTAGGCCACTGGAGATCCCCTTGCAGAGGGGTCTCGGGGAGGAGACGAGCCAGACAGGGTGCAATGTAGCAATGATGAAAAATACAACTTTTGGCAGGAACGAGCTGCCAAGCATTCCTCTCCACACTCTGAGACCGGGAGAACAGGATGGTGCTGGGTACCACTGCCCACTTCCCTGAGGACCCCAGCCGAAGGCCTGGAAAGGGGAGAAAATGTGACACAGAGCCCAAACTCGGCTACTCGTCAGAGACAGGGGCCATCGCTGCCACCAGGCTCTCTGTCACCCTTCTGCTTAGAACTGCTCACTCGCATGAGGGAAGAGTCAGCTCTGTCACAGGAAGCACGGCCTCACTTCCTGACAGTCCAGAGGGTGCGGCCGGAAGAAGGGATGGAAACGGGGAGAGGGCGGGGACGCTGAGCGGATTCCACGGGGGTGGGTGGGGAGGTGGAAATTAAACCAGCCTGAATGTGAAACTGAGCATCGTCTATGCCTTTGAAATCGTCCCTCTTGCCCTGGGGTTCTCCCCGGCACCCAGAGTGGTCCCAGGCATCCTGGCCTAGGAGCTGGGGGGCCTTTCCTCCACCCACTCAACACACACACCCAGTGTGCAAAAGCTCAAAGCTATACCACCCCAGGAAGAACATCCACCAGGCAAACCCGAAGTCTGAGAGGCATTTGCCGTTGGCAGCGATGAAGCGGGCTATCTTCACTCCCCGATCACAAGACATTGATGCCAACATAGTTATTTTATGCAATCCGCCCACCCCCGGCATGAAGGAACGTGGGATAGCCACATCTTTAAACCTGAAAAGCAAGCCATCCAGGCAACTATTTTGAAATTGCAAATGAAAAACAAAGTTTATTAAGCATTTATTCATCCAGCTGCCCTGAAGACCAAGGCTACACCAATAACCCATTTGCCAAATGCAAATAGCGTAGGACCTTCCCCGGAAAGGGTCACAATCAGGTGGCTGTTGACAGTGACAAAGCCCACTGTGCCTCCACCACTCCCACCCCCCACCAGCCAAAGTCCACGGGTCTTGTGTCCCCGCGAGCATTTCTGCCCCTACACCCAGTCCTCGTCATCCGGGGTGTCGCTGCTCTCAGCCTCCCGGGTGGAATGCTCAAAGCTGGCCTTGGCCTGGCTTCTCCCAGCAGCGAGGTGGGCGAGGCAGCCCTTCTGCTGCCTTTGCCTTCTGAGCTGGTGCACTTCATCTAGGAATTGCCAGACCTCCTCCTCCGTCAGGGGAAGGAAGTTCTCGTCTCCGGCAGGCTCCTGCCACCCCATGGCTCTCAGCAGCCGCTGCTCGGCCTCCACAGAAAACAGCACGGATGCTGCTTCCTTCCTGGAGGGGACAGCACGGCCCTGCAGGCAACAGCATCCCCTTTCACTCTCCAGTGGCTGAGGAGGACTGTTCTCCGGAGCCCCCAGCCAGTCCCCGTCCCCCCAGGACTCTGCGCAGTGCTCACTCTTCAGAGTCCCCAGGGGCTGACTGCTCCCTGGGTCAGTTGGGTCCTTCTTGGTCGCTATCCCAGAGATGCTGGAATCCCCTGGAGGGCCTGCACTGGAGAAGCTCTCCGTGGGAGACCCAGGAGTTGTGCCCCCAGCCCCCACCACAGGCGTGGGGAAGGACCAGGGCCTGGGGAAGGCAGACTTGCTTCTGGAGGAGCCGGATTCCGTGGGGGATCCAGCTCTCTGGGCGCCGGTCTTAGGGACGAGGCTTCTCTGGTAACACTGGACCACGGCTACCTTTCTCTTCCTGTGAGGGTGGGGAGTGGTCTTCAGAGACGGGGCAGTGGCAGGGTGCTCCTCAGACACCTCCCTGCTGACCAGCATCTTGGGGGGCTGCTTGGCAGCTGGTGACTCTCCCCACGCTCCAGAAGGGGTTCCTGGAGGTGTGCATGGCGCGGCCTGGGTGCCAGGTACTGTGCTCCATACAGGAGAGTCGGCCATCGCCTCGTCTCTCTTTCCTCGTCTGTTCTTGGAACGAGGATTCAATGAAATGCCAGAGTGGAAAGGGCTATACCGAGAGAGCGGGGTTCCTGGGCCACCCGACGTCTGCCGACCCCGGGAAGTGGCCCACCTCCAACGCCAGCACCCTGAGGGCAGACAGCAGCCCCAGCGTGTAGTGGAGTAAAAGCAATTCTGCTGGGACCAAATCTGGCCCATTTCTTCCAAGAGTCCAGTTTAGGGGATGATCCTGAGGACGACTCCACGCAAATCCAGCTCCCCCTCAGGGCCCGGAGCCCTGGGCACTGGGGCCCCCAGCAGTCTCTGGAGCCACGTGTCGTGGCCGCGTTCTCTGGAAGAGCAAACAGGAGAAACCGATAGACCAATAGTCAGGCCTTGGAGTCACGGGGGATCCTTTACCCCACATCACTGCCACACAGCCAGCCCTCCAGTTGCAGTCCCCCAACCCCGCCAGGGGCTCAGAAGGTGACAGACACCAGACTGGGGCCTGCGAATGGGCAGTAGTTGAGTGGGAGCGTGAGGTCTGTGACCACCAGCAACAGGCAGCCCAGAGACGCCCAGCCAACACTTGCTACTGG